GAAGTATCAGGATGAAGCTAGGTCCACAGAGGAGTAGTCAATGTCACTCACTCCAAGGGGCACTCCACCACGAAATGCAGGCATTCAAGCAGTGCTAACCCCCAACCCAAACTCTTCTCTTGCAGGAGGGTGTATGGAAGTATAGGATCAAAAACAAAAGCAACGAAACTATGTGGCTAGCATCTCTCCTGCCAACCCCTCAACGGATTTCTACCCTGCTATTTTCCCAAGTGGAAGATGTCAAAGGGTAAAGTATACTTCTAGAAAGGGTTGAAGGCATTCCCTTGGAGACAGGAAAAACAGAGAGGAAAAAGGGGAAAAACTCCCACAGACTACATTAGACCCTAGAAGAGAACCTTGACCAGCAAGTCACTGCGAAAACTGCTCACAGAGGTATTCACTGTGTTAGACTAAAGACCTGCTTTCACCTTACCACCCAACTAACGAGGCAACGCTTCCTTCTTGGCCTAACACACACTTCCACTTGAACATAAAACCAACTCTGCTTTCCACTGATAAACATTTTCTGCTTACACAAAAATAAGTGAAGAGAGCAATAATGTACTTTCTAAAATCTACACACAATAAATACCAAAATGTAATTAGAGCAGAATAAACAATTGCTCTAAACACAAGCAATGAATGGATCTATGTGAAAACCTTTAAACAAAAACAAACAAATCACACAGAAAAACACATTACATGCACCAACAAAAGTACTTGGCTTGAAAATAATTATATGTACAATTTAAAAAAATTAAAAAGGCACCACCTATACTCATTATACCAGCAGAAATTACAAAGACTTCATGAAGTTACAAAAAAGTGGATTGTGTGAAAACATCCCCAAACACTGCGCTGAGCATTTTTAATTGACAGAGCTTATGAAGATCGATTTGTAAATGCATAAGTCATCAAAATGTCATACTCCTTGTTGGAGCCACTCTAACACAGTAATAAAAGAACAGCATCATTTAAAGAGGGAAGAACACTTGCTTCTGCCAGATTTCACAAATCAGACAAGGCAAATCCTTCACAGACTTGACCTGTTAAAGTTACTGTCTACTCCGAGAAAACACGGGATGACCGCACAGGAAGGACTTACGGTGTAACACGGTATGCACAATAATAACGTTCGTGTAGAAGCAACAGAGATCGGCCACATTAGGGCATAGTGAAATTTGTTACTTGAAAGGTCTTGATTTAGTACTTATTCTTGGCTAACTGGCATTGAAACGATGTAGACTTGTAGCTTGAGACAAAAGACTAACTTCTTTTTTTTTTTTATTAATAAAATTAATTTTGACATTCTTCACATACTTAGTTAGAGTAAGAAGGTTCAAGGGCTACAGGAAAGTGGATAATACTAGTATGTTTTCCATATTGTTACCTTCATGTTAAAAAGGGGGGTATTAAGGGAGAAGGCCCACCCAATTTCCCACCCTCCCCAAGTCCCGGGTGTAGGGCATGCTCTGAGGTTCTTCCTCGAGTGGTTTTGATATTGCAACAGTTATGAATCGCTGTCAATCTTGCCACTCCAAGCACTATGAGGTCTTTGAAAAATCCACTGATTCACATAGTCCATCATAGCTGAGATGGTTGGTTGACCTGTTCTGTCTTCTCTCTTTTCTTCGTTAGGGTTCTGAGTCCAGCATTTAGATTAGGAAGATCTCCAAAGAAACTTCTTGTATGTGCTAACAAGTACAGGGCCAGGCACCGTCCATCGCTCCAATCAGCTGGTGGTTGTAATTGCTGGGTTGGTTCTGTTTTCACTCCCGACTTCCACTGGAACCAATGGGTGTTGCGGTCCAGCCTGGTTCTGCCCCGCACATATTTGGCCCTCACCTAAACCAGTGGGAGCTGCAGCCTAGTTGGAGCGACCCACAATAACCCCCACCAGGACCGCCCCTACCCTGGTTTGCCAGTAAGTGTAGCAGTAATCCAGTCTGAAAAGACTAACTTCTCACCCTCAGATTCCTACCACATTTCAGGCACTTTGGGCCCCGTGGCTCTAAATGCTTGCCCTCATTTAGGAGACCTGGGGGGAACTTGGCAAGCTCAGGCAGCTGACCCCTCGCGTGAACTGGTCCCTTCCAGCAATGGGAGCTCCTGCCGTCATGTGGGAACGTCCTCTCTGCAGCACTGTCAAGATGACCACTTCTACCCTTCAACCCTCAGGGAAAAGAACAACCCATGGAAGCCTCGGGCTTTACTCATGCCTTTGCTAGAGAGGAGAGAACCAGCCCCAATCCAGGAAACAAGAAACTAGAGGGGCTTTGGAGAGCTAAATCTGACCTTTTTACCCCACCATTAGCAGTGAGAGTAGATGATGCTTTATGCTTTCTGTGTTAAGACTCCTACATGGGCACATGGACTCCAATGGACAGTAAAGGGACAAGCAAGGAAGGCTGTGGTCGCCTTGAACCTGTACTTCAGCATTTTCTCATCACCAAAGAAAGTGATTCACAGACTCCTACAGGGCTCTCTCCTTGAGATCCATATTTACATTCTCCACCCTTGTTGAGAAACTTCAGATCCAGGTCCGCAAATAACAGGCTTAGGAACGAACCTGGCTCCAGAGCTATAGAAAACAAGATCAATAAAGCCAATAGCATGTAATTTTGTGTCCACAGAACTTCAAGAAGTTAGAGACAGAGGAGGAAAAACGGCCCAAGGCTTTAACAAGCAGATTTACCTGAAATGCCCAAATCTTCACAATACATTTAAATTGGTATTTTATATGCTATTCTGAAGTCTGCCCTATGGAATATCTGCAATGTCAAGGAAACATTCTGAGGTGTCTCTCACAATTAAACCCATCACAACCTTTCTAAATCACAATTTCACTACCATCTCACAATGTTACACAGGGGCTGGCACGCTATTGCCCACATCCTCATTACATGCAACACTAATTACTACAGCAGATTCAAAATTTTCTGCACATTAGAGGCTTTTAGAGGAGCTATAAAAAATTTCAGGCACCATTAATTTAAATTTGTGTTGAAATTTCCTTTTGACAGATGGCCAAAAATTACTTATTATTTGGAGTACCAGAGCTGCCTGTTTGCACATTAGAAGAGGAAAGGGAAAAATTAAAAGCAAGAAGGAAAATTTATGTCAAGTTCATTACCTGTTAAATGTTAAGGAGCATTACCCCGCATGAATAAATTATTTCATACCAGCCCGACTTCAGCTGCAGGCAGCCGGCATGCTCTTGCTGACAAAACCATCCTGAGTCACATGGCACACAGTCATGCAAAGTCCCTTCTCTAACAGAGCCATTCGCAGGAGCTTAGAGGTGACTGCCAGATCAAGCAACTGTCTGTCTGAGCACCACAGGACACACTGAAGAAAACGTGCAAACTATTTCAACTGGCAAAGACACAGGACAGCCCCAGACCTGACCTAACAGAACTTGAACTTGGAGAAGGGTACCCTACACACACATCCAGTCCTGGCCACTATTCCATAATAAGTCAAGCAAAAAACGATCCACTTCCATTTCCTTTTTGTTTTACCCTTGGCTTCCAGCTCTCTGGACACCTCCAGACTCACTCTGAGTGATTTGTAGATGATTTCAAAATACACTCTACTCTTGGGGGAGGGAACAGAAAATGTAATTGACACAAAAGCATCCAATGAAGTATAAATATTTTCACAGTCTGCTGGGAGTGCAGCATGAGAGAATTTTGTTTAGTTCACTGGTCTGCCTTGAGGTATATATTTATCATAAGCAGCCAGGAAATGTTTATAACGCAGCCTCAGCACAGCCAAGTACGCTTTCCAAGAGCTGCTATCAGTTCATTCTGGCCAACACGCTTAGCCACCATTTCCTAAGGACATGTGTGGAACACCTACGACATTCCGATCAAGCATTCTTTAATCTAAGTACTGATACACATATTATACTATAAAATACACAATTATAGATGCATAAATAAATAATCTGTGTGTAGCTCTAATTGTAAATGTTGACATTTAAACAGAAGAGCAGATGCCTTTTCAAACTACAAACATTTCTGAAGGGCAAAGCAGATATTCTTAGTTTTTATTACTGATTATTGCAGGGTTTAGGAAATCACCCCAATTTCCTTTTCCCATAAAAGGGCAAAAGAGTAAAAAGTCATTTAAGGTGATATCACAGGTTTAATTTTCATATACACAGCTTCCCTGAAAGCTGCCAGATGTGTAACTGTACGCTACAAAAAAATAAGACTGGAAGACAAGACACTGGTAGTACCCATACTTGGACCGATGCTTAAAAACTGCCTTTTCCTTCTAACTGGTTAAGTAACACAATAGTGTACGTGACATAATTATGGGTAATGTGGTGACACTGATACTTGTTTCTGGTTCCAAAGTAATCAAAGTCATTTCTATACGTTACTCATGTCTGGCCCCAGCAGCCTGTCTTTCTTGCTTGCTTAGTAAAATATAGCTAGTCCATCCCATTCCAGTGTTACTAGGCATATCCAAATCATTAGGGCCTAGATGCTTCTATTTCTTCCCTACATTTTGTCTGGTAAGAGATACAGAAGGCAGATGAAACAGCTCTAACACCCAAGGAGCGCTAACTTGCTGTACTGAAAGCCAAGATGTTATTAAAGATATACAATTATTTCTAAGTTATCTTAAATGTTTTGATAAAGAATTCTGTAAAATGGAATTGGTTCTGCAAATGAGACTAATTTCCTTATAAACCACTTTATTTACTTCATTTCATTATCTCTAATTGCCAAAGCCTAAGTGGCAAGTAATAACAAAAATGAGCAACACAAGCCAGCTACTGTATTCCAACCTCGGTCTCCCAATCCGATTCTGAAACAGAGATGGGAACACATTTCCAAAACTCTCAACCACGCACATGGAACTGAACAGAGAAGTTCAGTTAAGCATTACTTGGTAAAGACCACCAAATCATCCTCTAAATTCGAGTCCACTACTGGATTCATTTAAAAACCTTTGTACTTCATTCACCCGTGGATTCGGAGTCCTACCTTGATGGAGTCTCTGTCTGCAGCCAAAACAGCAGCGACACAAGCAAAGTGGAGGGAAGAAGGAGAAAAGAAAAGTGCTGTTAGCGTACACAACATCATGCCTTTAGCAAACCTGAACTCTGACGCATACAGACTGCAGGTGCCAGCCTTGCAGTAAACCTGATTATCAATACTTCTAAACCAAATTCACCCATCCACCTTTAACACAACTTCAGAAGGGCCAAAGCTGGATATTTCTTATTTCTGCTCCTTATCAACTTTCCCATTTGTGTTTACAATCCTGCCTCGCCACTGGACCACTGTATTAAGATAACTGGATGACACATGGCAACAGTGTTCCAATATCAGAGACAGGAATCTTACACATGTGATAAAATCATTTAGCCAACTTTATAATTCATTGTAATGACACTTGATCAGTAGTTGATGTGAGCTTTTAATTACAAACCACACCCTTTGAACCAATGAACCACTCACAAGCTAAGTCAATTCCCACAAAGGAATGCTGGGAAAGACTTTCACCTTTGCTTTGCTTTCCTATAATAAAGATAATTATTAAGCACAGCACGGTCATACACTCACATCGCAATGGCTCTCTGTACCTTCATCTATCTTAGTGCAGGGAGGAAACCAACCCAGGAGTACAAACGGCCTTTAAATCAATTAGTTGCATATATAATTGTGTTGTTCTTATCAGAAGAAATTAGTTAATTTCATGCTTCTAAACAGACTGGGTAGAGGCATCATTAAATCACCCGATTTCATTAATTTGAACTGTACCTTTTCAATTACTAAGACTGCTGACACATTTTTTTTTAACCAGGAGACTTCCACCTCCCCTCCATAGGCTCATCTGACTTATAAAATAAGTGATTCAGAAAAATATCAAGCTAGCGCTTGTCAATAATTCTTCTGCCCCAAAATGAATTCAGTCAAAATTAGCTATTCATGCAGACAAGCTGTTTCAAAGATACAGAATTGTGGGATTTCACTATTCATTTTGATCTGGGGAACACAGGAAGGTATTAAAGACACGAAGCATAAAACAGCCCCCTTTGCCTTTGGGGGAGGGTACTTACTCTTGCCAACCACTAGGGTATTATTGGACAAAGGACTGCTCCCAATAATTAATTTACCTGCCAGCAGAAATTCCCCCATTTGGTCACTGGCAGGATTAACTTCAGAGACAGACTCAACACTGGCATGCCAGGATGCACTCCCCAGAGCCAGTGGGTCAGCTCAGCCCCAGGTCTTCACTCACCTCTTTGGTGATCATTTTCATGGTGCTTCTTCTCATCTTTAATTGGAAGATGGGACTGGCCTCCCAGGGCGCTGGAGAGGGCCAGAAGACCAGCACTGCCACCGATGGGTGGAATGGCAGGAGGCTGCAGCCCCGAGGGATGCGGCGTCAGAGGCACAGGCAGACCATGTCCATGTGACAAATGCTGGGCCTGGAGTTGTTGCTGCTGTGAAAAACCAGACAGAGATATTGAATTTGTTCCCCAACATGCAGCCCTGCCCCCCTCCAAAATGAGACTGAAGGTGCACATAAACAATCCAGCATCCATGAAGGAAAGAATTCTCCCTAACGGATATTTTTAATAGGAAGAGAGAAAAGAGGTACAATTGATAAAAATGCTTCCTGTCTTAGAATTTAGGGGTTTTCAAACACACACCGTAAATAAATTTTTTAAACAGTGAAGTTATTTAAGTAACTTTTCATAACTGAGATGTGAACAGATTTCTTTATTAAAGACTCCATATTTTATTCTCCCACCAAAAACAAAGTCTTACTATCACATATTTCTATATCAAAACATACATATGAACAACTGTTAAAGCAGTTATGTTAGACAAAAAAAAAAAAAACACTAAAGATTGAGAAAATTAGTGTTAAACAGTTCTCCCAGAACTGGTGCACAGCAGGCAGTGAGAGTTAATTTGAAAGAGGAAACGTGAATTAACAACCCAGGAAAGGAAACTGGTTCCAGCCACCATTTTAAGCCCTTTAAGTGTCCTCAGCGGTACTTGAGCAAATTACTAAAGAAAATCTAATGTAGCAAGGCTTGGGTCGTCCTCTAGGCTTGCTCAATAATGCTGAAATAATTGGGCACTCTGTGCACGTTTAGTGATGCTCGAATGAAAAGCTAGAGGCCTGCCCTTGTACTCTTCTCCAGCGGCCGACTCTGTGTTGTGACAGGTTTATTTGAGTGGGACTGCGATGCACGCACCAGTAACTGCACTGACAAGAGTTTAAAGTCATTTTTACCAGCACACTGGCAACACACAGGGAGAGCCCTCAAGAGGCTGCAATGGGAGTGCTTGACCTCAGTTGGTGCGGCATCAAGCTCGGCTACAGGAAGCTGTGGGCAGGCCCTGCTGCCTCCTCTGAGTGGGAAGGGGAGTGAGGGGGAGGAGAAGCAAGACGCTAAGTTAAATATAGCCCTCAACAGGAATCATTTCAACTCAAAACCCTGCCGAATCGTCTCCTAGAACAACTGGTGGCTAATTCCAGACTAACTTCTGCGATGCTTAAATTTGAATAATTGCCTTTAAATAAGTTATTTTCACATCTAACCTATGAGAGTAAGAGTCCCTTCTACAATACTCTTTCCAAGCAGAATGTCACCAAACACTCGAAAAAATGGAATTACTGCAGTAAGAAGGATCTTGAGAAGCTTTGTTTCAAAGTCAACATCGCGTCTCCTCTCCAAATTCCTTTCACTTTCTTCCTCTTACCTTCCCCGTGTCTTCCTGTGTCTGAATGTCAAAATCAAAGTGCAGAGTTAATTAGCCCTTCCCTGCTGTTGACCCGTGCTTATCTGTTGGCTGTGTGTACTTAGAATATTGTCAACGAAATAAAGTAAGAACACTACGCAGGTAAATTAGTTGACACATGTAGAAAGGAAAGCAGTGTCCCCATCCTCCAGCAACCAAGCCCTGCCCTGCAGGCGCTGCCAGAGCCTTTCTAACTGGACAGCTTCAAAGTTCTCCAGCAGGACACGTGACATTATGTTCACAATTCTTCCCTTATCATTTGTAACCAAAAATTATAAGCACACAATTATGTTTTCTAAATGTGTTGAAAATCACACCTGTGAAGGAAACATAGGCACTGAAATAGCCAGAAAATTGCTCCAATTCTTAATCCCCTCCAAAATCCCCTAACACCTCACATGTACATCTTTGATACACAGCCACTTTTAATCTTAAAGTGCAATTAGCAAGCGTTCTCAAGAGCCTGCCTACACACCTATGCCTCTCACGTCCCTTCCCAAACTCTATGCTAAGGGAGCCTATTTCAGACGCAAATCCATGTTGATCTGCAGATGCTCACGGGAATACTCACACATTATCTGATAGATGTCAAACTACGTCCATTTCATTACATATTAACCCAACAAACACACACAAAATCTCAGTCCAAACCACCACCACCTGGAATGGTTTGATTTGATTTTCCTTCTAAGATTAAAAAAAAAAAAAATTAGCACCAACTGCATTGCTCCATTCAGTCTAAAACTTTGCAAAGGCCAGCTACTGAATACGCATGCACCTTACCTAACTCCCCATCTATTCCACATGACATTTATATTTGATTCTTCAGCGTTCTCACAATTCCTTCTCCTCTACACATCCTCAACATCTGAGAGCAAGCAGGCTCCTCTTTGCTCTAAGCTGGCCCTTCACCTCCACAGGCTATCGCTGTCTTTGCCCTCCTTCAGTCTTCCAATCCTGTCCCTCATCATCAGATGTCTGTCAGTAACTGCGTCCTGCAGATTGCAAGCTTCATTCCAGCGTCTTAAACATCTTAGGGATGATGAACCAACCACCCAACTGAAGTCAAAACAATTGGAAACAGCTCACTGGGGGTGGGCCGACCAACATCTGACTCTTTAAAACACGTTTTGCGGTCTCCTCTGCACCTCACAGCAGATACTGCATGCCGCTGGCACCTGATAAACACTCACTTACTTTTAGTAAAATGTTTCTTTTCCCTCTTCAGCTGCCACCTCTACAGATGGCCAGGCTCGCTCTCATCTCTTGTCCATCTGCTCTTTATCAAGCCCCTGCATGGCCGACCACCTTAACACACACAATCCTTGCACCCTGTCATCTGCACTCCAGGGCCCCTGGACTCATGGAAACATCTGACAGCTGCCTTTTCCAGATCTAGCGGAAGCCACAGATAGCACGTCCTCTTTGCTGAAACTGGCCTCTGATGCTCCATCCACACCGACATGAGCACCAGAGCTGGCCTTCCCATACCTCTCTCTCTGCCTGCTCCTCCTGGTCTGTTTCCTTATGGGCATTTGCTCCTTCTGCTCCTTTACTCTGGCTTTACCCAAAGCTACGCCAGTAACTCCCCAAGCTCTGGATCCCAAGCTCCCTGACCCTTCACCTAACTTTCTGGAGAACAGTCCCACACGGCAGTCCAGATCATCTGAACATGACAATGACAACAAAACGCGTGAGTAACTCCCACTAAGTTACTAGTCGCCATCAGCTTATTTTTCTTCTGTGCTTCTAAATCCACATCATCAAGTCCTGTCAAATCCTGTGACTGCAGTAGCAAGATTCTCATCACGGACACACTGTTGACCACATGGCTCCAGTCCAGTAACGCACTCCATAATGGGCCCCTGGTCATCATTACTGACAGTTATTTCCCCTAAATTCATGTCATTCCACATCTTTCACAACAAGCCCCTCATTGGTCATCTAAATTGCACACACCCATTTCAGTACAGATATCTGCTCTCTTAAAGCTTCTAAGAAAACTCCACACGCCCATCACCTTACAGGACACCCTGTGCCATTCACTGGCATATATGCCTCATGAAAGAAGACCCTAATAAGCCAGGCACTGTCAGATGATGCAGAGGGGAGACCAGACAAGGGACTTTGTATATCCCTGGTACTTACTCAGTTTCCCACACACACACGGGACTTAAATGCCCTGTTACTGTTCATTAAAAAGGCTTTTACACATACACACACGCCATAATCCCTTTAATTATACCTGTTTATTTTAGAGTTTGCAGGTCCTAGATGTTGTCATATACATAGTGGGAATTCAAACATAAAAACTTACGTTAGTACCAATTTTATAAATTAATCAGTTTGGGTTCTATTTTCTTCCAGATGACATCTCCATCTTGAAAGTCAAATTTTACACGGAAAAGGAGAGACACAGAGAAAGTTCCTCCATCTGCTGTTTCATTCCCTAAGAGGTCTTAACAGCCAGAGCTGAGCTGAAGCCAGGAGCCAGGAACTTCCTCAGGATCTCCTACATGGGTGCAGGGGTCCAAAGACTTGAGCCATGCTGCCCTGTTTTCCCAAGGCCTTGGACCCCCACACTCATGTGGGACCCACAAAGAGGCTCCTGAACCCCAGAGCTGGCCCTTGCATCCTCCTAGTAAATGAGCCAGCAGCTGTCTATCGCTCTCTCTCTCCTCTCTCTGTAACTCTGTCAAGTTAAATAAATATATCTTTAAAAATAAAAAAGCCCAATTATCAAATGTTAAGCAACAGTCAAGACTTCAAAATTTTAACGAAGATTTTCTCTGCAGTTTTCTTGCCACCAAAAGAAAAATCAGAAGCACAGATGCCTAGAAAAGGAGTCAGGTTTCTCTTGTTATTATCCAAGAAGCCCAGAGCAGTAAAACCCAAGAAGTCCACCGTTCTCTCATCTCTGTCCCTCCGTGAAATTACAGAGCAATTAACCTGCCACACTTTACTATTTTTTTTAGTGTGATTCTAAGAAAAGAAGAAGAACCTCTCACCTTTTTAAGACAAAAAGAATGCAAATGTATATTAACAGTACATAATTTAACACAGAAGTGTTGTTGAAACAATTTAAGATAAATTACAAACCAACAGGGTTAAAATAATGTTAACTTCACAGAGAAAAAAAAAAGATACCAAAAAAATCTACTAGAGCATGTAGCAGGATGGGGAACATTTTATGCAAAAGGCAATACAAAATCAACCTAAAAATCAGCCGACTATGGATTTATTGAACAGCAGTCCCACCTGAGGCTGCCTCAGCAGGAACAAAGAGAACAATGTCACAGACCTTACATGACCTGAGGTCTGGAAGCCCCCACTCGGGCACTGACCTGCAGTAAGTGTGTTCCTATGTGACCATAACTTGAGCAAGTCCCTCCCAGGTCTGGACTATCTGCAGATGCCCTATTTCATTAAAACAAATAATTAAGGAACATCACCCTCTAATATCTGAAATCACAACACCAAATAAACTACTCTTTCCAATCAGGCCACTCAGGACAATAAACATTAAAACGGAATGAACCTTAAACTTAAGCAAGTTAAGTACTACATTACGATAATTAATTCAATTCTGAAAAAACCAACCCATGATTATGTCTGAAAATATATAGCAATGAGGTGGCAGGCACAGCCTCAATTCTGTTAATAGGTTTTAATGGATTTTTCTATAACAAAGAATTATTTCCAAGTTTGGCATGGAAAGCAGAAAAGGATCACTAGAGAATAGCAAGTTCACAGGAAATGTCAGGTGGAATACTTTTTGCTGGCACACAGAGGAACCGTTACTAATGGAAGGTCCCCAACCGCTCTCTCACTGGGACTCACTGGGTGATGACCAGGAGAGCTGGCACGGGTGCTGGAGCTTGCAGCCTCACTCTGCCCCAGCACACTGGGCATCTCCACTGGAAGCTCACAGGAGCTCGCTCATCCATCACTTTCTGCTACATTCTCATTAGCAGAAAGAAAAAAAAAAAGAAATCAAACAGCAAGAGCTTTTCTTAAAAGCATCACCGTCTACTGTCGTCATCTGTAGTTTAAATCACAAAGTAGCACTAATCTGATGCACTTTCCCACTGATGATCCTGTTTTTGAATTTTTTTCCCTAAACTTATTTAAAGTTTATAATCAATAAGTTACATTTATAAAAGCTACAATTTCCTAGAGGCTTGTCTAAGTCACAAATGGGAAAACTTTAGAGACTTTAACATCTCATGAAACGAAAGCTCTTACTTTGTGGACTGTAGTCATGAAAGGCACTAACGGGACATGCTGGACCAGGAGAAGCCTTTGTCGGTTCCGCGGGGGAAAAGCCTGTGTACAATGACTTCCACAGCAAGTCTGCATTTGACCAGACTGAGCCGAGGTCCTCAGAGCTACACAGAACCCGCAATGCCATTTACATGAGTTGCTTTCCAATATTTAATCACAACTTAGGTGTGCATAACTCAGGTATGTGTTAACATGTATGTGTCTGCATAGAATACACACGTAAACAAACAGAGTCTAACAAAATATCAAACCCTACTACGTGTGTCTCAGTCTTAATACCCGCTACCCTTAAAAACAAACAAAAAATGCTGAAATGGCCCACTGAACTGGTTCCACTGAAATCTGAAGAACATCAGTCCAGGCCAGTGCCTACAAATGTCAAGTCCAAAGTGAGAATCAGCAGACGTGATTAGCATCAGACGGGGCACAGGCCTTCAGAGCTTAGCCCCGTGGTGTCACCACTGCCCCAGCAGGTCCTTTCTCAACCAGGGAGGCATCCACTCATTTACACTAACAGGAGTAGTCTCTAGAGAACTGAACTTGGAACTGAGAGGCTCATGTGCACTCAGAAGTGACCGTGAACACCCTGCATAGAGTCAAAGCGGCTTGGTGGAGACACACACACACACACACACAACACGACAGGATCCTACTAAGACGACAATGAAGGAGTATTTGGTACGAGCCCAGTGGACAAGGGTAAGTCAGGCAGAACATTAGCATTTCAGGAATGAGTACGCACACTAAGGGGGGTTCCTACTTTTATTCAAAAGGGAGAGTTCTAGGCTGTAGCGAGGTGTCTTGGTTCTTTTTTCGCAAGGTGTGAGCTTTCCGTGACGCATTTACAAATAAATTCCATCTTACCACAAGAAAAACAATTTGCTAAGGTTTAAGGTTAGATCTTTTTCTGCTTCTAGGACTGACTTCTGCACATTAAGAGATGTACGAATCCAATTTAATTTCTTCCACAAGAATCAACAGCTCTCCCCACAGTGGTATCTGCTCTGCGAGTGTCCATCTTCCTCCCTTCACTGCTCCAATCACCCACTGACACATGTGAGGCACATCTGGCTCGACACCCTTTGTTTTATTTCACTGGTCCATTTACAGACTAGTAAGTATTTTACACTGGAGTGTGAAAACTAGCTCAAACTGGTCAATGGAAGTCTAAGAACTAATGTCATGCCATGCCATGCCATACCACACCACACCATAGGCAGAAGACCAGCTAGAAGGCAATATGTTGCTTCAAACAAAAATAATGAGGAGCTGATGAGGTTTTGGACAATATGTGCCTCAAAGAGTAGGAGCTGAGATCTACCTGAGCAACAGAACTGAAAACTCAGTTACAGAAGGAAAAGGTGGTGAGACCAACTACAGCAATGGAGGACAACCTGCACAGCTGGACCTCCAAAAAAACCAGGAAGTCAGCTGTACCACTTACTTGGGTGGAGCAGAAGAGGAACAGCTATATATAACATGATTTTGTCTTTTTTTTATTCTGCAAATTACACAATTGCCAAATAAAAGAGGCCTAAATAGCAGTTTTGTTTTGCCTACACTTCTTATTTAACAACTTCAGTGGTGGTACTATTATGGCTCTGGGTCAAATCAGATTCTTGCGGATTTTTTCATATTTCATTTTCACCCTCACAAAACATCAGCCACAGCTCCACGGACTAACTCAAATCCTGAAACAACCATGTCATAAAGTAGAAAGGATATTCATCTCTCTCTTTCCCCACCCCACCCACCATGAGTTTTTCTGCTACAGAAAGCCATATCCTCTATTGCCTGGACTGGGTGCAACCACATGCTCACTGCCTGCTTCAGCCTCTGTAGGAAAAGGTAGGCTCCGCTTGCAAAGGAGAACTAACAACACAGCCCGCCTCAACTTCTATCTCTGCTCACAGGCTGTTTTAAAGCTCTGAGCTGTAAGAAATCCAAAAAAACAACTTCTGAGCTTTCAATCCAAGTAGACAGCAACTTAGATTTTTTTTTCCTGTTCTCAACAGTTTCTTCTCCCAGATATTAATTTGTGCAGAGCTGTGTCTACAAATTGCTTTGAGTCAACTCAGCAGCACCCTGGGGAAATAAAAAAAAATACAACATAACTGTCACTTGGCTTAGGAACCTCTGTGCACTGCCCCTGTTGGTCACAGAAGATAACCTGGACCAATATAACATTCTTCCTTTTTATGAATCTCCTAGCAGGTGGGAGAGGAGGACGAGACATCACAGCAGCAGACTAACCCTAGACCGGAGAATGTGCCATTTGACTTTGTCCTAGCAAGTTTGCCTTCTACAGATTTGGCTCTCTTATTGATAATATCAGTATTTCTGAGAAACTTACAGTGCTGCTCTATCCTATGAATACTACTATATCTTTGTTATTTACAAGTAGAAAAGATTTTCTCAAGTAGAAACAGGAGCAATGGAAAAAGTACACAGCTGATCATGAA